GAGGCCATTTCCTTGATATGTTTATACCATGCCTTATGTTATTGGGCATTAGTGTTTGTTTTAAAAAAAGAAATCAAGGCAAAGTATAATGTATGTCACTGTTAAATAGCAGAAAAACAAAACAGACTTTGTGGCTGAGTATATGTTCAATTTGCACCATTCAAAGCCATTAAGAACAATATACAATAAATCAGTTAATAGGAGCAAAGACTGGTTAATAAGAGGGAAAGCAGATGTCAGCCTACTTGGAGAAATGCGATGTTTGATTATGAACATTAGGAAGTCATTTGACAGAGCACTAATAAAGTTTAAAGAGAGAGCTTTTCATTTCTCAGCTAATATTAAGAGCTGCTGCTTAAACAGTTTAATTTTCTTTGCCTAGAATGGCCCTGTTCCAGGAAAGCACTTGCAGAAATCAGTAACCTATGCCACTAATTTCTTTTTATGTTTGGAGACTAAAATGCTGGTATATGCCAAAAAATATTTAATGAGCCAGTGGCAAATCCTCCTCTCACTAGCACTGAAATGAGTAGAGCTACTTTGGGGGTTTTACTAGGCTACGTCTACACTACGAGATTTCTCGGCAAAAGATATTCTAAAGAGGGACTTATTTGCATGAGTTGCGATCTCGTTTGCATATTTTCTGCTGATCTGTTTTTGCACTAGAGTTTTTGTGCAAAAACAAGCAGTGTGGACTTTTCTTTTTATGCAAAAAAAAACTTTTTTCACAAGGTCCTTATGCCCCAAAAAAGGATGTATACTGACCTCACAGAAAAAAGGGGTTTTGGGGCAAAAAGAAAACATCCACACTGCTTGTTTTTGCGCAAAATAGATCAGCAGAAAATATGCAAATAAGATCGCAACTCATGCAAATGAGTCCCTCATTTGTATGATTTTTGCCGAGAAAATTCGTAGTGTAGACATAGCCCCAGTGTAAACAAAAGGAGAACGTGACAAATAGCTGTACTTAGTTTTGTAAGTTTTGTAAGTTTCTCATTGCAGTAAATCAACTCACAGGGTTCCTCTGAAGGATGAACATTGTTATCCAGGCACACAAAATTGCTTTGAGTGCCAACACACACTCCATGCTCAATGCTTGCTGCCATATAGAGTTAATGAGATGACTGCTGAATTCATATAGCTATTTCTGTTTTTCAAAGTGCTGGGCGAGCATTAAGGGTTAGGCAGAGTCTGACCCACGTGAGTGTGCAGAGAAGTGAGGGAAGATAAAGAGTTGTTCCCCCTCCCCCCGCCCATATCTCCCTGTGCACTATGTACCATTGTAGTCTCTTTAGACAATGCATCCCATAACATGTGTACGTGTGATGGGAATACAAAGGTACCTACCTGCCTAAATCCTTAATGTATGTAGAGTGCTTTAACATCATCAGAGATAAAATCACCATCAAAGCAGAGTTAGGGTATGTCTATACTGCATTCCTCTTTCAAGAGAGGAATGCAAATGTAACCGAGAGAAATTGCAAATGAAGCACGGATTTGAATTTCCCGTGCATCATTTGCATAATCGCGTCTAGCTGCTATTTCAAAATACCCTATTTCAAAAAAAAAAAAAACATCGTGTAGACACGGTTATTTCAAGAAAAAAACCCTTCTTTCAAAATAACCCTTACTCCTTATAAAATGAGGTTTAAGAGTTATTTCAAAATAAGGGTTGTTTTTTCAAAATAACCGCATCTACAGAGCGTTTTTAATCTTGAAATAGGGTATTTCAGAAAAGTGGCCGGACACAATTATGCAAATGAAGACCAGGAAATTCAAATCCACTCTCCATTTGCAATTTTACTTGGCTGCATTTGCATTCCTTTCTCAAAAGAGGAATGTAGTGTAGCCATACCCTAGAGAACAGCAGGGATTTCACATGTGCTAACCCATTTTATTGATAATTATTGCTCTGAATAAAACAGAACTTGATCGAAAGAACCTGGCATTCGATCTGTTTCACTGTTTCTGCCTCTTGACACTGGCTCATCAGAAAGGATTCCCTTCCCAACCCCCTGCCATTTAAACATGTGTAGTCAATGGGGTCCCCTCTGGAAGCAATTTCACTGCCAGGTTATGGAAGTGACAATAGGAGCCACTTGGGGTCTGAGCGATCAGGGTATTGGTAATGGAAGAGAGGTTAGTAGCTTAAATGCACAGCCAGATAGTACAGGTTGAACCTCCCAAATCTGGAACTCTCTGGTCCAGCAACATCTGTGGTGTGGCAGGGCCACGGATGCTGCTGGATCAAAGACCCCAGAGGAGGCAGGAGCAATGCAGGGACTGGGGAGCTCTGGCTGGGCCAAGCAGCATCTGGGGAGCCCCTTCCCTGGCCTGGGAACCCTGGCGTCAGCAGGGACAGACAGCAGCCGGGGAGCTCCTGCCCCAGCCAGGGAACCCCCAGCATTAACATAGCCAGGTGACCAGGGAGTCCTGGCCCCAACTAGGGAACCTCTGACTGCAGGAGTCCTGGCAACCCCCCAGTGGCACAGGGTTGGGATGAGTGGGGCGGGTGGAGACAGGTGGCTGGAAGCCCCAGCAGCAGCAGGGTCAGCCGTGGAGTGAGGTGGGCGATCTGGCTGGGGAATTCCCAGCATCAGCAGAGCCCGCGGCACTAAGTGACCCCAACCAAGAACCCTGGGAAACACCCTGCAGTAGTGGGGCCAGCAGTGGCAAAGCAGTCCCCGTTGGGAACCCCGGGAGATCCTGGGACAGTGGGCAGGCAGCAGGGGCGGGAGCCATGCTGGGCCAGTGTTAGGGGGACCAGTGACAGGGCAGGGAGCTCCAAGGAAGGGAGCCCAGGAGCAGGGCAGCCAGCAGGGGACCACTGGCTTCTGCTGGTCGGGCACACTCCCTGGTCCAGGACAGCTCAGGTCCCGAGGGTGCTGGACCAGGGAGGTCAACCTGTACACAATTGCAGTTTGTGACCACTGTCTCTAAGCAGAGAGGCTGAAAGTGCTGTGAGACTCACCCGAACAGCAGCCCCTCTGGTCAGACCTGAGGCACACAGGTGGATGGCCACGTGGGGGAAATTTGCTGGGCTAGTGCCCATGTTTTATTTCTCCTGTGTCAGAACAGAGGATGCGAATCTCCCAGGCTGTCAACCTAACGCTTTATTACCCACCCTTCAACACACAGAAACCACACAGTTGTGCTAACAGCAGTATGTCCAGTAGAAAATAACTCTGTGCGTATTCAGTGACCTAGATGGCCCTTTTCATCTCTTAATACCTTTGACTCCATGTAGTTGATAAGTGAGATGTACTGGAGGTAAAGTAAAGTAAGCGCCGCCCACTTTACTTGCAATTGCCACTCTCTGCTATGGGAGTTTCCTTAATCTTAAGACCCACAAGCAGTTTCAAACCTCATTATCCATAAGGAGGGTGAAGGATAAACTTGCAAACTCTGGTGGCACTTTAGCATGTGAAAACCTGTCTCTCTCTTCATGGTGTTCATGCTTCATTTGTGCTTCAATCCAATTGTATGGCACAGGATGAGATCTAGGATCCATGTCTTTGTCTGACAACCCAACTGGGCTCAAACATAAACCTCACCTCAAGGATGCTCCTTCAGTTTCTCCAAGGAGCATACTGATCTTTCCCAAGGCTGGCTCACAGCAATAACTCTAACAGTCAAAAACGCAGGGGTAACTTACATAAAATGTATTTTGATATGGAGATTGAAAAGCGAGAGACCTGAAAATAAATCACAAAACTTTGTAGCGGATCAGCTCCAGACTCTATTAGGAGTTACACAAACAGTTAAATACTGCACCTTTATTTACATGGACAGATTAACAGAGTTTTAATGCATGGAACTGTCAAAGCATTCTGCAGCAGGATGCAGCCCCTGACTTGCCTGGATCCATCCCCCCAAGCTCAGGGGACTCCAACATTGGGGAGCCTGTGCTGGCACTCCAGCCCCCCACCACCACTGTCCCCCCACAGGGCTGAACACACATCTACTACGCTGGGCCCCCCTAGGCTCTGATATGGGAGGAGAATGTGGGGGAGTGTCTTTCTCCTTCTCAGATGGGGGCCACATCAGTGAGGATTTTTGTTTTGTTTGGTGTTTTTTTTAACTTCTCACTTGTGTGTGTCCCCGACTGATTTTTCTGAGGGTCAGTGGCCCCCGACCCAAAAAGGGTTCCCCACCTCTGTTCTAGATGGATCCCCTTAGACATTGTGACACAGTCACTGTTGTATTCCTCCAGCTACAGATTGAACCTCTCTGGTCCAGGGCTCTCTGGTCCAGCAACATCCATGGTCCAGCAGAACCATGGATGTTGCAGGACCAGAGAGCCCCAGCTGCTGAGGTTGCCAATGACTGGAAGTGGAGCTGGTCTGGCAATTGGAAGCACACAAAGCCAGTGGCTTGAGGGCCACAGAGCACTGGTGGCAGACCAGAACCTGTGGGCAGGAAGCCTGGCCAGCAGCTGGTGATGGCGGAGCCCCAGCAGCTGGAGGCAATGGAGCCCCGGTGGCCAAAGCAGGGCCAACCGCCAGGGTATGAAGCCCCATCAGCCAAAGAAGGGCAAGCAACCACAGCCCTGCCAGCCAGACCCTGAGCAATGAAGCCCCAGTAAGCAGGCCAGGGGCAGCCCACCAGCTGGAGCCAGAAGCCAGGAGGGAAGCCTCAGAGAGCCTGGAGGCCTGACCTCTCCTGGTCCAGCAAACTCCTTTGTTGGGACTTCTCAGGTCTGGAGGTGCTGGATGAGGGAGGTCCAACATGTCCTCATAAAAAGCACAGAAATCAGATCTAAGTCAAGTGCTTTCTCCTGTGTATTCTCATCTTTATCCACAATAAAAGTAATATAATATATGGAGATATACCTATCTCATAGAGCTGGAAGGGACCTTGAGAGGGCATCGAATCCAGTCCCCTGCCCTCACAGCAGGACCAAGTACCATCCCTGATAGATTTTCTCCAGATCCCTAAATGCCCCCACCAAAGATTGAACTCACAATCCTGGGTTTAGCGGGCCAATGCTCAAACCAACCAAAAATTGATCTCATAATCCTGGGTTTAGCAGGCCAATGCTCAAACCACTGAAATATCCCAACAATCTCCAAAGATTATATTTTTCCTTAGATTACTTGGGTTCAGTGTAGAGTCGTGGCTCATAGTTATTTGGAGAGACAATGTCCAACCCAACTTTGGCAGCTGAACAAAGATAGAACTCAGCTGGAGAGCTCTCGTCTCCTCCTCTCCGTCATTAGAAAGAGATGACCCAGCCAAATGAAGTTGCTTCAGTGGAGAGAACTTGCTGTGAGAAAACTCTTCTCTTCCTTTGAGAAAAGAAAGACCCTTCGAGATCCTTTTCACTCCTGCTGCTTCTCTTCAGCTAGCTGAAAGGGTCCTGAGGAATCTTGTGGGAGGAATTTTTATTGACAAAGCACTGAGGTGTCTGTGGGGGGAAGTGAGCTCCAGGGCCCCTTGCTTATCTTTATGAAGTGGGTTGTGCTCCGTGCTTGTGGGTAAAAGGCCTGATATAGTTCCTAAATGACTTGATTTTTTTTAGACATGAGTTTGAATCCATCATCCAGTATGGACCTCCTGTTGCGTCTTAACTTCTTTTGCCTCTCGAGGTGGATGATCTTACCCAGCAGGAAGCTGGCAACGATGAACAGCACAATCCCTGTAACAGCCAGGATGATGACTGTGGTCTCCACTTGCTCCTGAGCCATCTTTGCGCCAAACACAATGACCGTATGGGACTCATCCTCAGGAGAGGTCTCTGAGAGCACAAAAGGAGAAGGTGACCGCTGAGGAGTGGAAATGAGGTGATTTAAGGAATCATGAAGAGAGGGGAATGGAGGAGAAGGAGAGATTTATATGTACATGGGAAGGGCCTATCAATTGTTGCTCAATACCATGGGTCCCACACCCTTCAAGTTGTAAGGAATTTGCAGAGTAAACAACAATTTGCCCTTCTGTAACCTGATCCATTCAAGGGTCTCAATGTACTTCACAAACATTCACTCATTAAAACTCACTCACTCCTATCAGTAAGTATCACATATCTCTCCTACAAATAAGGACATTGAGGCACAGAAAGGCAAAGTGACTTGCCCGAATCACATAACAAGTCAGAATCAGAGATGAGAGGGATGCCTTGATCACTGTGCAATAAGCTTTAGAAAACACTTCACAGCTATGGCTGCTGCCAGCTCATGAGTCCCATCTCTAATTCTGATATCACTGCGGTACACAAAGCTCCTCCTGCATCTTTTTTGCTGCTGTACCAAGTCATTGGTCCCTGGGAGTGAAATGACCATGGTAAGCCATTACAAATCTTACACTTCCTAATATTGCTGTTGCAGATTTTGTTTTGCAAGGAAATGGAAAGTTTTTGAGAAGGAAGACTTGTTTGGCTATTTGTGTGAAGAACAACTTGTAGGTGAGGGCTTTTGGTGAACAGGTAGCTGCTTGAGACTGGTATAAACTTCACTGCTTACTCCTAAAATTCCTGACAGATTTTTTATTTCTCTTCCTCTTAGTGCTTATTTTGAGAAAGGAAAATATTCTTTGTAAATTGATAGTTCTGACATGATGGCAGAGACTAGAAGGAGGAGTTGGAGATATCGGGCCAGATCCACAGCTGGCCTAAATTACTTCTGCTGATCTGGCTCATAAGGATGTAGTCATTCAAAGGCAGTACAAAAAGGGAGATGGAGAGCAGCCAAGAGTCAATTTTCAATGTGCCATTCTAAAAGATGCTCATCCACAAGATGATTCTGAACCTTTAAATATTTCTTTTCCCCTACTAGCTCTCTTGACTCACTTCTGCAATCATTGACTCAAGCAATTAATTTCCCTGAGATAATGTTAAAAATGGATGGATGTTTAAGCTCCTCTTTGGAAGGAATGGACAAAAATATACATACTGTACACATCTAATGGAGAAATAAAGCTAGTGTTTGATGCTAACAGTGTCCCTTAGTTAGAGGGCTCTGATGGCCAGTTATTCAATGATGATAACACCTTACTCCATAAGAAGAGTGAGACTTTTTTACAAATGTGTCTGCGACAGCAGATGAGTTCAGATGACTGGGCAAGGGCATTTATCCTTATCTCAGTTTCTCATTTTATTTTATCCTGGTCCGAAGCTTGAAATCCCTATGCAATATTGTGGGAGATTCTTCTATTCGTTGCTCAGTGGGTTGGCCTCAGAGGCAAATTTATCTAGCGTGCAACCTTGCTGAAGGCAGTTCTATGCTACATATGACTTTGGTGAGGCCAAACAAGGTCAAAAGAAGGTGAGGAGAGATGGTTGATCTCTATAAATACATCAGAGGAATAAATACCAGGGACAGGGATCAGTGTGGACATAAGAATAAATGGATAGAAACCAGCCATCAACATGTTTAGGCTTGAAATTAGATGGTTTCTCTCTGACCATCAGAAGAGTGAACATTTTTCCATGGGGAAAAGTGGGAGCAAAAAATCTAACTGGCTGCAAGCCTGAGGTTGATAAATTCGTGTTTATGGAGGGGATGGTTTGATGGGAGTGCTGAATGGTGTGCATGCTGGTTAGGAATTGCTAGCAGCAAATATCCACAACAGCTGGTGATGGGACACTAAAGGGGACGGCGCTGAGTTACTATGGGGATGGCTATTAAGTTACCACAGAGTCTACCCAGTAGATAAAGTAAGAAGTTCTAAATGTACCAGAAGCAGGAAAAACACCCTTTTAAGAAACAAAGAAATCTCTCAAGCTTTCTTAATACATTAGCATTGAGAAGCAAAAAGGATACAAATCCTTTTTTGCAGGTCACCTTTACCTGCTAGATTGTGTCTTAACTAAGCACAGACATTCTGAGGATAGAGAGAATATGGAGGAAGGACAATTCTACTGATGAAGACTATGAAGCAGGCAGACTGCAGCTCCCCCCCTCCCCCCCACACACACACCATTCACATTGCTAATGGTCGTACTCCACACTAACACAGCTCCCCCATACTTAGGGCCCTACTAAATTCACAGTCATGGAAAACGTGTCACGGATGGTGAAATTTGATCTTTTGTGTGTTTTTACCCTCTTCCAAACTGATGTCATAGGAGAGACCAGTGTTTATCAAATTGGGGGTCCTGACCAAAAAGGGAGTTTCTGGGGAGTCACAAGGTTATTTTAGTGGGTCGTATTGCCACCCTTACTTTTGTGTTGCTTTCAGAGCTGCACGGTGGCTGTTGGCCAGATGCCCAGCTCTGAAGGCGACATCCCACTAGCAGCAGGACAGAAATAAGTGTGTATGACAAATACCATACCATGCAGTGCTTACTGCTGCCTTCAGAGCTGGGCAGCAGGTGAGGGGTGGCTGCTGACTGAGGGTCCAGCTCTGCAGGCAGCAGCGCAGAAGAAAGGGTAGCAACACCATACATGCTATTCTTACTTCTGTGCTGCTACTGGCTATGAGCAGAGCTGGACTCTTGCTCTGCAGCCACTGCCCTCCATTGCCCAGATCTGAAGGGCAGCACTACTGCCTTTAGCAAAGTAGAACATAGGGTAGCAGTACCACAGCCCTCCCTTCAATAAGCTTGCAAGTCCCCCACTCCCCCTTTTCGGGGTCAGGACTCCTACACAATGACATTTCAGATTTAAATAACTGAAATCATGACATTTATTATTTTTTAAAATCATATGACCATGAAATTGACCAAAATGGACTGTGAATTTGGTAGGGTCCTCCCCGTATTTATACTTGGGGAACAAAGAGACTGGGATGTGGCTACGCCGAGCCCAGAGGGACATAGAAGGGGTGTGAGAAGAAATTTCTTGTCCTCCTCATCCCCTGACTAAGCTAGCCACAACCTGATCCAAATCTTCTGTCTGTAGGGTAAGTTCAACCGGCATACAGGCAGTCCCCGGGTTACGTACAAGATAGGGACTGTAGGTTTGTTCTTAAGTTGAATTTGTATGTAAGTCGGAACTGGTACATATTGTAGGGGAAACTCTAGCCAAACATTTCTCCAGAGCTCAGTTTTATTCTCCCACACCTCACTTCCCTCAGGGTATTATTCTCAAACTGAGGTGTCTGCTGAGAAAAGCTGCTCCGCATCTCCCTGGTCTGCTGGGGG